GTGCTCTGTTAGTTGGTCACTTGGGTCCCACCAGGCTCTGTTAGCTGGTCACTTGGTCCCACCAGGCTCCGTTGGATGGTCGCATGGGTCCCACCAGGCTCCATTAATTAGTCATTTGGGTCCCACCAGGCTCTGTTAGTTGGTCACTTGGTCCCACCAAGCTCCATTAAACTGGTCACTTGGTCCTACCAGGCTGGTTGCTGGTTGTCCTCGGGTCAAGGCAGAGCAGTCTGCTGGCCTGAGGTGGCCTTTATGCAGGTCTACCCAAAGGAAGGGCATTTTCCCAGATGTCTGACTTCCATCCTCTCTCCTTTCCCAGGCCCGTGAAGAGCTGAGGCCGGTGAAGGAGGACTTTGAAGCCAAAAACAAGCAACTCCTGGAGGAAATGCCCAAGTTTTATAGCAGCCGCATCGATTACTTCAAACCCAGCTTTGAGTCGCTGGTCCGGGCGCAGGTGAGATGCTGTCCCCTGTCTGCGGGGCACTGCCAGGTGTCCCTTTGGTGGGCATCCTTGCTGCGGAGCATCTGGGGTCCCACCTGGGTGTGAATTGCTCCTAGAGCAAGGTACCTCCTCGAGCTGAGTGTAATGCACAGGTAACACACAGCAATCCTCTGCCCAAATGCCGTATTTCCAGCAATTTTAATTACCAGGCAGTGAGAGGGGATGGGGAGCAGGGAGCAGTTGGACCTTGTCCTGGCAGAAGAGCAGGTTGGCATCTGCCAGTACCTGTGGTGCTGGCTGCCGGATAGAAAGGACAGCCAGAGGTGAGGTTTTTTGCTGGTTCATATGGATCTGCCTCCTATCAGGGACACTCCTGGTACATCTATGATGGCCTGTCCCACGAGATTGCCTGCGTAATGCAGTTCAAGCCCTGGTTATAGACGAGCCGCTGGCATTTGGTGGCTTTATTCGTCTGGGTACACCATCTCTTTGCGTTTGTAGTCCTGAGCTCAGGGTTGGATCTTGTTTGAGGTTATGAGATGCTCGGGGCTCATCTTAAGGGGCTCTTCTGGCTCTTGGCGTGTGCTGGCAGAGGTAGAGGAGGCCGTTGTGTAATCTCCACACCAAGGATTTGCGGGAAGGGGTGGCCTAAATAAACCACAGCCTGCTTGAATTTCCATCCTCCAGCTTCCTTCTGTGACTTGCTGCCGCTCCTCCTCCATCTTCCTTCTCCTCTCGCCTTTTTCTTTAGGCCGGAGAGGGACATTCTTGAGATCTAATCTAGCTTTGAACTTCTGGCATCTCGGGCATACGTCGTGCCCTGGGTCACGAGGTGGTCCGGCGCCAGGAGGTGGGCGAAACCGTGTGCTGCTCCTCACGTGGGTGCTTTCCTACGGTATTTTTTTTGGAAGGGAGCTGCGGCAGCGACACAGGTGCGGTGGGGTGGCTGCAAGGAGGTGCAAAGAGCACGTGTTTCATCTCACCTCCGACTTGGGGGGGGTGATGGGGGGGGGGGGCCTCCCCCCGGAGCAGCCCGGGGGCCCTCTCCGCAGAGCTGCCAGCAAGTTGTCTGCAGGCTGATTCACCTACCAGATGGTGCCGATGCAACCCTGCCGTCGCCTGGGTGGGTGCTGGGGATGCTGTTCTTGCTGTTCCCTTAGCAATCATCGGGCGCGCGGGGCTCCCTGTTCCAGCCATCGCAGCCGAAATAACCAAATTCCTTGGAGCCACCGCAAAAAAAATCGCGCTGGCTCTTTCCCCTGCAAACCCCTCTCCAGCCGCTCGCTGTGGGTGGGTCGGTTGGATGAGACCTTGAAACCCCAATGCTGCCTGCCCTAGCCAGGTGTTGGTGATCCGCTGGCAGTTCCTTAGGGAGCAGCTTTGCCCCTCTGTCCTTGGCTGTGATGTCCCTCGCTTCGCTCATCCTGGCTCCCGGCTGCTCCCCGGGGAGCGATGGGCTCAGGGTGCCGGGAGATGTGAGCGGGAGCGGCCGGGTGCTGTTGCTGGGGCTGTTGGCAAGACTCCCCATTCGTAACCTCTTCTTCTTGGGAATCCTCGATTTTGTTTCTTGGCCGTCTGCACCGTCTCTCTCTTCAGGTGAGGATTTTTGTTAGGCAAGGCAAGCGAAATCTCCTTTTTAATACCCAAGAGGCAGCGTCGTAACGAAGCTGATGTAGTCTGATCCCAGATGGATGCTGAAGCATCTCACATCCCGCCCTCCCTGCCGACCTAGATGGGAGCCGCATCCCTCTTCCCCAGCACTGGCTGCATCCTTCCACCCCCGGGGAGGGATGCACCGGCACGACGGCATCTCTGCTGCCGGGAGGAGAGCTCGGCACTCCCCTAAGGACTCGTTTGTGCCGAGGCTGGACTCAGGCCGTGTTCCCCTCCCGATTCAGAAGCTCTTACTCGGGGCTGCGTGACGTTTCTCTCCATTGCAGGTGGCTGAAATAAAAAAGAAAAGGGAAGTGACTTGCCCAAGGTAACTTAATGAGTCAGTGGCAAGCCAAGAATAGCACCTGGGAGCCCTGACTCACCCCGCAACCGCTGCTCACCTGCAGGGACCTGGGCAGGGGAGGGCAACCGGGGGGCTGCCGCGGTGATGCCGGGAGCATCCGCATCCCCATCCCAGTATCCCAGGTGTGAGCTGGCGATGGGAAGCATGTGGACAGTGATGGGCTGTGGCTGGTGTACCCCGCC